TCAACAGATCCACCTTAACAACTTCATGCCAAATGAAATTATATATTGGGTTGCACAAATTCCATCTTATTCTTTTGTGTGAAAATTCGCTGAGCCATCTTCCAGATACCACTGCTGGGATCTTGCAGATTCATATCCTTGTGGTCTCTCACTACCAGCAACATGTCAAAAACAAAATGAGTTTCCTCCAGATCACTGCACACATAACATGACTTGACATAAACCCCATACAGCCTTTTGTCCAGGTAAGCTAATGAGAGGCAATTACTTGACAACCCCTGGCCACACCCTTTTTCCCTTCTGCCTGAGTGGGAGACAGATTGGGACGGCTCGTCAACCGTTACCGTGCGTCACCAAGTCCTTAGACGATCGTTTCTTAGTCTTGAAGGACTTGGTAGATGGCTTCCCTGACAACCGCGACTTTGAATGTTAGATGAAGATGCAGGTGATCGTTGATAACTACAGTTTGCCCAGAGGATGTTGAATGATGAGTCGAAGACACCAGACGATCATGATGAGCAGAAGATACACTGACAATAAGGGCCTTCGACAATGGCATGCCCACATCCCAAATAGATGGTGTTTGTAGGGAGGAGTGCGTGTGTCCCAAAATATGTTTACAAATACTACCCATATATTTTTTACACCATAATAGTACAACGAATATACATGTAGTTGTCTTTACTTGATATGCAAGACACATCAGTACCGTTTATCAAACACAAGTATGTGAGCTCAAATAACTGAACAAAAAATATGTGTTCAGCTGAGCACAGAAATGAGGTGTCTCCCGCTCTGTGCATTTGGGGAACGATAATATGCGGTATTCCAAACAACTGATTGGGATGACTAACAGTGAAGAGAACGTCTGTTGAAAACCTAATAATTTTTGTTGTGTGATGTTAACCAGATTCCAGGAATATTGGCTATGATGTAATAGAAATAGGGTAGTTGGAAGAATTGCGTGAGGTTCCTCTCAGGTTATTTTGATATATATGGTGGTTAGTTTTTCAGTTAACCCTTTTGGAGTGAAGATGTCTCCCTTGTCCCTGAGAATAATCCCATGCATAACCTTGGAGTTATATATTTTATAATACAAAATTACAAAATCACAAAACACAATCTCTACAGTCACATTTATATTTTATTAAAATATGAATCTCTGATGATGAAAATATCATTTATAAAGAAATGTTCATGTACAGATGATATACAGAAATACTTGAGTTCCTTTGCTTGGCTGTGCAGGAACTGCCAGCATACAGACACTCATACAGTACAGCTACCTTGATCAGCACGTGGCAAGCATTCCACTCTAACACATCTAGTACTTCTAATCAAGGAATTAATCTTAACTTATGTTTCACCAAAAGGAATCCAGTTTCATCATGAAATCATTCCTCACAAGATGGAACATCCTACAAAGCATTCTTAGCACTACACTTACGACATCATAGCTCTGGTCCAATTGGCAGACCGAGACACGCACAGTAGGAACTGTGTGTAAGGTCTTGAGGTGATATTATCACGTTCCGTTTGTTGGTGATATGTTCATAACAGCCCCAAGGAAAAGTACAGGCCCTGACTGGTTGGGTACATATTATATAAGTTATGTCAAAACAGTTACAAAATGCAAAGGTGTGGTTACAACAATATTCAAAGGATGTGGGGCAATACATTTTTCTGCAGAAAACACGATAGAAACATACAAAGAGAATGTCCTTAGGTTTTCGGGACACCAGAAAGCTGGTTTATCTCCTAATTAAAAAAATAAAAATTGAAAAAAATGAATCGTATTTACTTTTAGTTACTCAAGCGCTCGATTTTTGATGGATTAGAAAAACAAACTGACAATGAATTACAAAAAGCACACAAACTTAAAGTAACTACTGCCATTTTGAAAAATAATTAACCAAATACATTTGATGTATTCTGGCCATTCACTCATTGCAAACCCCTTAAACAGAGAACAAAGCCCCCTCAAAAGTAAAAACATGCATGTTGCTGTAAACATATTAAACATACTGCACTTTAAACAGAATCAGCACTTATATTATTCCCTGTAAGAGGCTAACTGTCAATACTTGACTCATGCTGAGGTAGGATGCTGGATTCCAGTCCGTAGAACAAGAATTTGCCATGTCTGACAGCCAGTGCTAAATGGCACACAACTGCCAGTGCTAAATGGCACACAACTGCCAGTGCTAAATGGCACACAACTGCCAGTGCTAAATGGCACACAACAGCCAGTGCTAAATGGCACACAACTGCCAGTGCTAAATGGCACACAACTGCCAGTGCTAAATGGCACACAACTGCCAGTGCTAAATGGCACACAACTGCCAGTGCTAAATGGCACACAACTGCCAGTGCTAAATGGCACACAACAGCCAGTGCTAAATGGCACACAACTGCCAGTGCTAAATGGCACACAACTGCCAGTGCTAAATGGCACACAACTGCCAGTGCTAAATGGCACACAACTGCCAGTGCTAAATGGCACACAACAGCCAGTGCTAAATGGCACACAACTGCCAGTGCTAAATGGCACGTAAGAGCCAGTGCTAAATGGCACGTAAGAGCCAGTGCTAAATGGCATGTTATGTAGGCAGTGATAGCTCTTATGATCATACCAGTATCAGATTTACACTATTTTACTGAAGAATTGGAATGTAAGATAACACTGACATATTTCACCACTAAACCATTTGTATAGAACTTTGCCAGTATAAATCATTATGGTATTAATTTACCATAATAAGGTCTACATATATTATGCAAACTTACTTCATACCCAACCCCAGACATTGCAGCCAACATGTTCTGGCATATATGCAAAAACCCTTCGTTGTTGGTGGATTGGCTAGGGCATGTTCTACACTGAACACCAACAGGTCCCGCCGACCTGCTGAACCCCTTCTGACTGGAAGTGAGACACTGTATGGCCCCAATACTACACTCACTCACACATTAGAAGGTACAGATTCACCTGAATGTCGAAGAACTATTTGCAATGAGTAACTGCAACCACCTTCCTTGAATGTGTATACCGGTAATGCCATGTTGAATGTGTATACCGGTAATGCCATGTCAGTGGAGGATGCAAATGAGCAGTGTAGGCAATGAGGTTTGAATGTGATGGATGCCAGCAGATGACAGTAACACTGTGTATGTACAAATGAAGACAGACATGCTACATACATACATACATAAATATATACAGTGTCTCCGGACACAACACTCAACAACACCAAGCCTATCATGTCTGGAAGGCTGGGCAGTAGCTTCCACCAGACATAATACCTCATCAGGTCCAGTCAGGATTATCTATAATATGTCATACCCATACAACCCATATTTGGTTGCAAATAACATCACGTCCTTGCTATCAGCTAGACAGCAATCATGCATGAAAAACTCTTTCAGGAAAAACTGTATGAAGGAAGCATTAATTATTCATGCCCAACATAACCCTATACGTACATAATGCTGCATAGTGTGAGAGAGGTGATAGCATTGAACACTATTAGTGTTGAGTCGAAGAAAACCTTGCATGCCATGAGTGTGATAGTCAGAACTCTACAGACCCACACACCTTGAGTGGCAGCTCTACAGACCGACACTCTCTACAGACCGACACTCTCCACAGACCACGATACAAGGTTTTATCCAAACTTGATAACCCTGTTACCATTACCAACCCAAACTTTCAAACATTTCAGTCTTGACCCAAAACAGTAATAGTAAACATGAGCTACTAACGATGTGTAGTAAAACAGATAAATACATCTAAATAAATAGTATTTCTATGAACAAAAAGAATCATAATGATCGACAAATAGAGACTGCCCTTCTCAAAACCATGTGAGCCAAACTGAATCCAAGTCCCAAGTAATAAATATAAAAAAAGCTAGACTTGCTAGAGATGTGCCAGTTCCAAAAGTTGAGGAAGACCTGACACACTGTCAAATATACAACATAATGGTACACAAGTACTTCATCCATACTCCAGCAACACACAGATATACTCGCACACATTTACACACACACTCACACACAAATTTACACTTGCACACAGACACATGTACACACACACGCACACGCATGCACACACCTCCATCAAGCTTCACTCAATGTTACATGCAGTAAATCACAGGTACCTCACAATTATGTACATGTAACTGTTGTAAAAAGATGTCTCACTTGACCAAATTAATAAACAGAAACCCATAAACGATCAGACTAAAGTGAACGTTGTATAATCTTAAATGTCGACAGCCAGATACAGACATCCAAGCCCTTCCCTCCCTGGTCTTGTGGACAGGGTGTCTATCCACATTCATTTTACTTCCTACCCTCCAACCCCCTACCCAGGGGTACAACCTCCCCTCCACCCACTACCCAGGGGTACAGACTCCCCTCCACCCCCTACCCTGGGGCACAGCCTCTCCTCCACCCCCTACCCTGGGGCACAGCCTCTCCTCCACCCCCTACCCAGGGGCACAGCCTGCCCTCCACCCCCTCCCCAGGGGCACAGCCTCCCCTCCACCCCTACCCAGGGGTACACACTCCCCTCCGCCCCCTACCAAGGGGTACAGCCTCCCCTCTACCCCCTACTCCGGGGCACAGCCTCTCCTCCACCCCCTACCCAAGGGAACAGCCTCCCCTCCACCCCTACCCCGAGGCACAACCTCCCCTCCATCTCCTACCCAGGGGCACAGCCTCCCCTCAACCCCCTACCCAGGGGGACAGCCTCCCCTCCCCTCCACCCCCTACCCAGGGGCACAGCCTGCCCTCCACCCCCTACCCAGGGGCACAGCCTCTTCTCCACCCCCTACCCAGGGGCACAGCCTCTCCTCCACCCCCTACCCAGGGGTACAGCCTCCCCTCCACCCCGAGGCACAGCCTCTCCTCCATCTCCTACCCAGGGGCACAGCCTCCCCTCAACCCCCTACCCAGGGGCACAGCCTCACCTCCACCCCCTCCCCAGGGGCACAGCCTCCCCTCCACCCCCTACCCAGGGGCACAGCCTCTCCTCCACCCCCTACCCAGGGGCACAGCCTCCCCTTAACCCCCTACCCAGGGGCACAGCCTCCCCTCCACCCCCTACCCAGGGGCACAGCCTCTCCTCAACCCCCTACCCAGGGGCACAGCCTCCCCTACACCCCCTACCCAGGGGCACAGCCTCCCCTACACCCCCTACCCAGGGGCACAGCCTCCCCTCCGGATCAATGCTTGTAAGCAGGAGCAAGAATCTACATCTTCTTGTTTTTTGCATCATGAGATATGGGATGTCAATGTGGATCAGTATTATCAATGACCCTCATTATCCTCAGGCAGCCTTATATGGGGACAGGACTAATATTAGGAGAAGAGATTTTAAACAAATCAGATCACCATAAGAATGAAGAAAGAGAGAAGCAATTTGTGAATTGTGGCCCTGTTCAGAGATGTCCCGGGAGATACTTAGGACGAGAATGTTTAAAGAGTATCAATATACTCCATTACACTGTACGTCATTGCCTTAACATCAATACCCTACTCAGACACAGATGTGTCTGCAAGTATATCAGTGTACAGATGTCTGCAAGTATATCAGTGTACAGATGTGTCTGCAAGTATATCAGTGTACAGATGTGTCTGCAAGTATATCAGCGTACAGATGTCTGCAAGTATATCAGTGTACAGATGTGTCTGCAAGTATATCAGTGTACAGATATCTACAAGTATATCAGTGTACAGATGTCTGCAAGTATATCAGTGTACAGATGTCTGCAAGTATATCAGTGTACAGATGTGTGTGCAAGTATATCAGTGTACAGATGTGTCTGCAAGTATATCAGTGTACAGATGTCTGCAAGTATATCAGTGTACAGATGTCTGCAAGTATACATTTGTACAGATGTGTCTAAGGTGTTTTGTGGAGCTTGATACAGTATAGCTAAAATGATTGAAAAGCTTTCCACGGCACCAGGGAACCATGTGATGTTGCAGATGATCAGTGATCACTTGAGTTTAATGCGGAATGCGCTGATCTCCATGGCATCGACTTGGATAGCAGTTTGAGGGTCCACCTCCCCATAGTCATGCATCAGTGTGAGGGAGGTCTCCACAAGCTTCTCCACTTTCAGATCTTTGAACAGATTCTCAAATGTTACCTGGAAGCAGAAAGGGGAACTCAGAGGAACTTTGAGACAACCTTAACACAGAGGCAGAACAATCAGTAAGTCTTATGTTAATCTCAAGGACAGACAAACAAAGACAGCAAAAATATCATAAAAAATGGACCATTAGAACAAAAATGAACTAAATCATTCCCTTTATGCATATAGATGTTGCTTAGATGGATTAAGTTTGGGGGGGCATACAAGGAGCCATTTTTATTGGTAACGTCACCAACATAATTTCCTGTCATAGTGGTAATGTGCTCTTACAATATCCTAATGCATTCACTCACATTAATTACTGTCACATTGGTAATGTGGTCTTACCATATCCTGATGCATTCACTCATATTAATTACTGCCACATTGGTAGTGTGCTCTTACCATATCCTGATGCATTCACTCATATTACTTACTATCACATTGGTATTGTTCTCTTACCATATCCTGATGCATTCACTCGCATTAATTACTGCCACATTGGTAATGTGGTCTTGCCATATCCTGATGCATTCACTCACATTAATTACTGCCATAGTGGTAGTGTGCTCTTACCATATCCTGATGCATTCACTCACATTAATTACTGCCACATTGGTAGTGTTCTCTTACCATATCCTGATGCAATCACTCACATTAATTACTGCCACATTGGTAGTGTGCTCTTACCATATCCTGATGCATTCACTCACATTAATTACTGCCACATTGGTAGTGTGCTCTTACCATATCCTGATGCATTCACTCACATTAATTACTGCCACATTGGTAGTGTGCTCTTACCATATCCTGATGCATTCACTCACATTAATTACTGTCATAGTGGTAGTGTGCTCTTACCATATCCTGATACATTCACTCACATTAATTACTGCCACATTGGTAATGTGCTCTTACAATAACCTGATGCATTCACTCACATTAATTACTGTCATAGTGGTAGTGTGCTCTTACAATATCCTGATGCATTCACTCACATTAATTACTGTCATAGTGGTAGTGTGCTCTTACAATATCCTGATGCATTCACTCACATTAATTACTGCCACATTGGTAGTGTGCTCTTACCATATCCTGATGCATTCACTCACATTAATTACTGTCATAGTGGTAGTGTGCTCTTACCATATCCTGATGCATTACCTCACATTAATTACTGCCACATTGGTAATGTGCTCTTACAATATCCTGATGCATTCACTCACATTAATTACTGTCATAGTGGTAGTGTGCTCTTACCATATCCTGATGCATTCACTCACATTAATTACTGCCACATTGGTAGTGTGCTCTTACAATATCCTGATGCATTCACTCACATTAATTACTGTCACATTGGTAGTGTGCTCTTACCATATCCTGATGCATTCACTCACATTAATTACTGTCACATTGGTAGTGTGCTCTTACCATATCCTGATGCATTCACTCACATTAATTACTGCCACATTGGTAGTGTGCTCTTACCATATCCTGATGCTTTCACTCACATCAATTACTGTCATAGTGGTAGTGTGCTCTTACCATATCCTGATGCATTCACTCACATTAATTACTGTCATAGTGGTAGTGTGCTCTAACCATATCCTGATGCATTCACTCACATTAATTACTGTCACATTGGAAGTGTGCTCTTACCATATCCTGATGCATGCACTCACATTAATTACTGCCACATTGGTAGTGTGCTCTTACCATATCCTGATGCATTCACTCATATTAATTACTGCCACATTGGTAGTGTGCTCTTACCATATCCTGATGCATTCACTCATATTACTTACTGTCACATTGGTATTGTGCTCTTACCATATCCTGATGCATTTACTCACATTAATTACTGCCACATTGGTAGTGTGCTCTTGCCATATCCTGATGCATTCACTCACATTAATTACTGCCATAGTGGTAGTGTGCCCTTTCCATATCCTGATGCATTCACTCACATTAATTACTGCCACATTGGTAGTGTTCTCTTACCATATCCTGATGCAATCACTCACATTAATTACTGCCACATTGGTAGTGTGCTCTTACCATATCCTGATGCATTCACTCACATTAATTACTGTCACATTGGTAGTGTGCTCTTACCATATCCTGATGCATTACCTCACATTAATTACTGCCACATTGGTAGTGTGCTCTTACCATATCCTGATGCATTCACTCACATTAATTACTGTCACATTAGTAGTGTGCTCTTACCATATCCTGATGCATTCACTCACATTAATTACTGCCACATTGGTAGTGTGCTCTTACCATATCCTGATGCATTCACTCACATTAATTACTGTCACATTAGTAGTGTGCTCTTACCATATCCTGATGCATTCACTCACATTAATTACTGCCACATTGGTAGTGTGCTCTTACCATATCCTGATGCATTCACTCACATTAATTACTGCCACATTGGTAGTGTGCTCTTACCATATCCTGATGCATTCACTCACATTAATTACTGCCACATTGGTAGTGTGCTCTTACCATATCCTGATGCATTCACTCACATTAATTACTGTCACATTGGTAGTGTGCTCTTACCATATCCTGATGCATTACCTCACATTAATTACTGCCACATTGGTAGTGTGCTCTTACCATATCCTGATGCATTCACTCACATTAATTACTGTCACATTAGTAGTGTGCTCTTACCATATCCTGATGCATTCACTCACATTAATTACTGCCACATTGGTAGTGTGCTCTTGCCATATCCTGATGCATTCACTCACATTAATTACTGCCATAGTGGTAGTGTGCTCTTACCATATCCTGATGCATTCACTCACATTAATTACTGCCACATTGGTAGTGTTCTCTTACCATATCCTGATGCAATCACTCACATTAATTACTGCCACATTGGTAGTGTGCTCTTACCATATCCTGATGCATTCACTCACATTAATTACTGCCACATTGGTAGTGTGCTCTTACCATATCCTGATGCATTCACTCACATTAATTACTGTCATAGTGGTAGTGTGCTCTTACCATATCCTGATGCATTCACTCACATTAATTACTGTCACATTGGTAGTGTGCTCTTACCATATCCTGATGCATTCACTCACATTAATTACTGTCATAGTGGTAGTGTGCTCTTACCATATCCTGATGCATTCACTCACATTAATTACTGTCATAGTGGTAGTGTGCTCTTACCATATCCTGATGCATTCACTCACATTAATTACTGCCACATTGGTAGTGTGCTCTTACCATATCCTGATGCATTCACTCACATTAATTACTGTCACATTGGTAGTGTGCTCTTACCATATCCTGATGCATTACCTCACATTAATTACTGCCACATTGGTAGTGTGCTCTTACCATATCCTGATGCATTCACTCACATTAATTACTGTCATATTGGTGGTGAGCTCTTACCATATCCTGATGCATTCACTCACATTAATTACTGCCACATTGGTAGTGTGCTCTTACCATATCCTGATGCATTCACTCACATTAATTACTGCCACATTGGTAGTGTGCTCTTACCATATCCTGATGCATTCACTCACATTAATTACTGCCACATTGGTAATGTGCTCTTACCATATCCTGATGCATTTACTCACATTAATTACTATCATAGTGGTAGTGTGCTCTTACCATATCCTGATGCATTCACTCACATTAATTACTGCCACATTGGTAGTGTGCTCTTGCCATATCCTGATGCATTCACTCACATTAATTACTGCCATAGTGGTAGTGTGCTCTTACCATATCCTGATGCATTCACTCACATTAATTACTGCCACATTGGTAGTGTTCTCTTACCATATCCTGATGCAATCACTCACATTAATTACTGCCACATTGGTAGTGTGCTCTTACCATATCCTGATGCATTCACTCACATTAATTACTGCCACATTGGTAGTGTGCTCTTACCATATCCTGATGCATTCACTCACATTAATTACTGTCATAGTGGTAGTGTGCTCTTACCATATCCTGATGCATTCACTCACATTAATTACTGTCACATTGGTAGTGTGCTCTTACCATATCCTGATGCATTCACTCACATTAATTACTGTCATAGTGGTAGTGTGCTCTTACCATATCCTGATGCATTCACTCACATTAATTACTGTCATAGTGGTAGTGTGCTCTTACCATATCCTGATGCATTCACTCACATTAATTACTGCCACATTGGTAGTGTGCTCTTACCATATCCTGATGCATTCACTCACATTAATTACTGTCACATTGGTAGTGTGCTCTTACCATATCCTGATGCATTACCTCACATTAATTACTGCCACATTGGTAGTGTGCTCTTACCATATCCTGATGCATTCACTCACATTAATTACTGTCATATTGGTGGTGAGCTCTTACCATATCCTGATGCATTCACTCACATTAATTACTGCCACATTGGTAGTGTGCTCTTACCATATCCTGATGCATTCACTCACATTAATTACTGCCACATTGGTAGTGTGCTCTTACCATATCCTGATGCATTCACTCACATTAATTACTGCCACATTGGTAATGTGCTCTTACCATATCCTGATGCATTTACTCACATTAATTACTATCATAGTGGTAGTGTGCTCTTACCATATCCTGATGCATTACCTCACATTAATTACTGCCACATTGGTAGTGTGCTCTTACAATATCCTGATGCATTCACTCACATTAATTACTGTCACATTGGTAGTGTGCTCTTACCATATCCTGATGCATTCACTCACATTAATTACTGTCACATTGGTAGTGTGCTCTTACCATATCCTGATGCATTCACTCACATTAATTACTGCCACATTGGTAGTGTGCTCTTACCATATCCTGATGCATTCACTCACATTAATTACTGTCACATTGGTAGTGTGCTCTTACCATATCCTGATGCATTACCTCACATTAATTACTGCCACATTGGTAGTGTGCTCTTACCATATCCTGATGCATTCACTCACATTAATTACTGTCACATTGGTAGTGTG